CATGTGTGTGTGTGTGTGTGTGTGTGTGTGTGTGTGTGTGTGTGTGTGTGTGTCTGTGTGTGTGTGTTTCAACCTGTAACTCAACGAATTGCAGACCTGATTTCAGCAGCCCTGATTGTTTCGGGGTTGGTGTCATTTGTTCAAGTGTACCAGGCGAAGATTCCTAGAACAAAGTACGTGCTGGGTAAGCCCTGTTTTGCTGCCATAGGCCTTTAATTCTTCTCCTTTTATTGGTTTAACGATTTCACCTTGTTTCTGCCTTGCTTCATCTTTTTCCGTTTTTCATTTTCTTTTCCTTTTCCGAAAGCTCAAGCTTAGAGTCGGTCCCCTTCCACTCTAATCATGTACCTGTTCCAAAAAAAAGCAACAGTTACTCCCGTTCTTTCCTGTTTGTGGCAAGCTCCCGGGATGTATGGGCTACCCCGTCGCCGCTGCACTTGATTGTTTTGGGAACGAGGACTATGATGTCTTCTTGCTGTTTTGCCCGAAAGCTGGTTTTTGAGAGATTTGTTATCTCAGACAGCATGTCCTCGGAAGATCGGAGAGAGTTCTTGAAAGGACAGAAGCCCTTCACTGTGAATCTAACTTGGAGAACCTGAGCTGTAATTCTATGGCATTATGATCGAGGCCCTTTTAGAAAGGGGGCGGAGGGGATTAGGCAATCTTTCTTTTTTTTTTTTTTTTTTTGGGGGGGGGGGGGGAAGCGGGGGACATTGCTCCAACCTCTTTGTGGGGAGGTGATGGGTACCGGGCCCAAAGTCCCTTACAGAAGTTTCACGAATCACGAAAATGCTGGGGCCATTACCCCACATCAGCTGAAAGTTTCTGAAAATTTTATAAGGGAAACTTATGAATACATCTGAGAATGGCCAAACGACTCCACAGAATGTCTAGAACAAGGGGTTTACCCCACCGAAGCAAAGAAATGGATTCTATCAGGAGGAGGAAGTTGTGTTATGCATTGTCTTTCTGATACAAGTCAATTTTTTGTCATCTGTGTTCTTTTTTTTGAGAAAGTGGTCAGGGGGGACAACTCTCTTTCTTTCCCTCGAGATCGGCCTGAAATCATACATGTAACAATGTTCTCTAGGTGATTAACTCTTAAGAGCTCTCCATTTTTTGGCCCTGTGGCTGAGGTCTATGACAGGACAGGATCCTGTCTAAATCCAGGGAAACCACTTGCAATGTCTTGTATTGCTATCACCCATGAGGATAACATGACAAGAAGAGAGGATGATGGGGGTAAGGGGTGTAAAGAAAAAGTGACTTTTCTTGGTTATCGTTGCGGGGTAAGATGCCTTAAAGAAATCTGTTCGTCCAGAAATATAAGCTTTGGTCTGATCTCACATTACCCAGTCTCTTTATCCATTTCTAGTATTTCTTCTCTTTCGTAATTCAATTTTATCCCTAGCTCTTGTGTGCTTATCGAATGAGAAAACAACTCCTGCTGGCCCTATAGAAGTTGTATAGGACCGGAAACTACCGACTTCACCCGAATAGAACATACGGTCATCATAGCTGAATTTGGGGCAACTTTCAATGTTGATGCAGTGATAATGACCGACGTTCTATTCAGGCGAAACTGACTTGCTTCAGTCCGTCTCCTATTCTGTCGTTAATCTTTTGGTGGTATGTATGCGTGACTTCTCAATAAAACGATTTATTTAATACAATATGATATTGTATGTAGTTCTATGTATAGTATTTGTAGTATTTTTGTACACAAATTATATCTTCAATTTTTTTTGAGAGAGAGAGAGAGTGAGAAAGAGAGAGTGATTGCGTCTGGGCCGCTACTTCTCAAGGTGATAAGAGCATCCCTTCTAACTACCGTCTTCGCCCGAATATAACGCCCGGTCATTATAGCTGTATTTGGCACAACTTTTGGTCCAGATGCAGCGATAATGACCGGGCGTTCTATTTGGGTGAAGACGGTAGTTCATAGTAGCTCCCGATTCTGTGCAGGCTCCATCTATTGGTTGGGACCTTCACCTGCTGGAAAGGGGGTCCATGCTAGCATATCTTGTACGTGTGGTTGACCCTCTTGAGCAGCATTGATTGCCCGATGTTTCGGGGATTAACTGCTCGATTAGATCTGTATTCAAGTTACAGAAAGACTCCTTTTCTTTCCTTCTAGAATGCATGACACTCCTCTTAATGGGAACCCTTCTCTCCTTCCCAGGCCCTATTTTACATCTACTTGCGCCTTTTCCCTCTTGATCTCCGTCGGCTTCATTGCAGAGGATCCTTTAAAAGCCCTTAAGGAAACAGAAGACAAAAAAAAAACGGGCCTAGATTCCCTCGCAACAGAATTCTGGTTTTACAATTGGGAAGTGTTCAGAACATATGTCATGCTTTTTGTTCGGGCACTGCAAAAGGAAAGCAGATTTTGGGGCCTGCTAGGAGAAGGGGCTACCACCTTGCTCTACAAGAAGGGGGAGACAGCAGAAATGCGAAATTACAGACCGATCACACTACTGCCAGTACCCTATAAAATGGTAGCCAAGGCCTGGGCCAATGAACTGCTGCCTGTATTGTTTAGCGGCTTAGGCTTATTCATCTGGATCAATCAGGATTTATGCCAAATTGGAATAGTCAAAATAATATCCTATTGGTCAATGAGACTTATAGGATATGCCAGACAGAGGAGGTCAGAGGCAGCTGTGCTGTTCATCGACTTTGAGAAAGCGTATGATCATGTGGACTGGGACTTCCTAGCCCTATGCCTAAGAAAGATGGACTTCGGCCCCTTCTTCTGTAATTGGGTAAGCATTTTTCACAGGACTGCCGCAACTAACATTATTCTAAATGGTCACCTTGCTCCCCTGTTGCCCCTGCAAAGATCAGTGAGGCAAGGTGACCCGATAGCTCCCGTGTTGTTTTTTTCTTCAGAAACGTCGGTTGTCGGCTAACTACCCCAGAGGGTGATAGGAGCACCCTCTTAGTCGGAGGCTGCCATTAGATGGCTCCAATCTATTCGTGGGGTGCTGTGTTCATTCTTTTATCTTTGATATGTCTTAACTGATTCTGCCACCGTCATTACATTGTCTAGGATGAACCTACCTGGGATGAAACTTGGCTGGTCTATGTGGAAACAACCCCTCGTAACCTTTCTTATCCTGTTCGCTAGGAGTTTGGCTATTATTTTATACGCTACTGTTAGTAGAGTGATGGGTCTACAGTTCTTGATATCTGTCGGGTCACCCTTTTTGTATAGTAGTGTAACTATTCGTTTACTTAGATAAGACCCTAGTCCTTCTTTTATCCATGCTGATCTTACAAATTTGCACCTCTTTTCCTAAGGAGTGCCCAATATTTCTGCCAGCTTGGAAAGACCGTCCAGGCCCGGTGTTTTCCCAGATTTCATGGAGTCTAGACTCTAGAGCTTTTTGAATTTCTTCATTTGTTATCGCCTTATCCAACTCTTCAGCTATGTTAGTCGATATCGTTGTCTAAATACTTGGCAAATTTAGCTCTGGCCTGTTGTACGGAATTGGGTGTGGGGGGGCATATGCTGTATCTCAGTATCTGTAAAAATTATAAATATGCTCATCTGTAAAATTTGAAATTTCTATTCAATGTATCAGTGTGGGCGAGTATCTTGGAAAGAGAGACCATCCATTGCGGAAACAATGCCATCACAACCAAAACCTCTCTCTGCACTGTCAGAATGTATGACACTCCCTCCTCCACCTTGTGCATTCCCGGCACTGTTGTGTTTTCAGGCTCAGGACTGCTCTCCGTAATGGGTGTTAGCGTCACTTTTCTGCCTATCGGTAAGTGATTGAGCGTTACAACGTACAATTTTTTTGTCGTAGTTCTGTCCATGCATATTAGATTGAATGTTTGATGGCTTCCTTCCATTGCTCTCCATAAAAGAATTTCAATTCTTTACATCACCCTTGACTTTTGCAGAGCAGCAGCATATGAATTGAGCGATCCCTCCTTTTTTTTTTTTTTTGCTTGTTTCAAGTTGTTTGTTTGTTGTTTAACAGGCAGCATATGAATTGAGCGATCCCCTCAAAAACTTTGCATGTACTAAAAAATAATTGTCAACTCTAATGGTTGACGTGTATCCATTGAATTAAAAAAAAATTGCAACGATCCCGTCAATCATGAGAAGCTTCCAGAATGCGAAAAAGAAAGCAGTTCCAATGCACTTGAAATGGAGCCAAGCGTAATGCAGAATAAGGGCCTCGCCACACCAGTGTTAAAGCGAAAAAAAAGTACAAGTGCATCTTTCCAGAGAAAGTGGCAAGATGCATCCATTACTATTTATAGCGACGGATGCATCTGTCCACTTTCTTTGGAATATGCACTCGTACTCTTTTCGCTTTGACAGTGGTGTGGCGAGGCCCTAAGTTGAGAAGCACTGAATGAAGTCCCAAAATAAGCAGTGAGACACCAGAAGTGTGACAAAGGCAGAGAAGCAATGCAGAGAGAGGGAGGATAGTTTACAACTCTTTATTATAATCAGTAATACAACTGAAGCAACTCTTCCACCCCTCTGCACCTCCAGGACCTTCTCCCGCCAACTCGCCACCTCAGTGTGCAAGTCTTCCCTTGAAGACACTGATGAAGTCTCTCTGCAGGTACCAGCTGGGGGCACCCAACCTCCAGCATCGATGCTGGCCATTGAGGTTTCTCTCTGCAGGTACCAGCTGGGGGCGCCCAACCTCCAGCATCGATGCTGGCCATTGAGGTTGACACCTGCCTTCCTCAGCCTCCTGATGTGAGCAGCAACTCCAGTAATCACCAGCAACCAACAGGTAAGTCAAGGTAAGCTTCTCACACTCTCTCACTCTCTCTCTCCTCACAGTCCTGATCGCCCTCTTCCTTGCCCTCCTCTAAGCTGCAGCTATGGCGTGCAGGCGCCCTTCCTAGCTATGGCTACACAGTCTGGCTCTGCCTTTCCTCCTTTGGCGGCAGCCTCCTCTCTCCCTTCTCTACCTCGCCCAGCAGCGGTATGGCCGCCGGCACGTGCAAGGCAGAATGAATGGCCGCTGGGGCGGCCTTGAGTTGACCGGCCTTGGCCTGCCTCAGGCTGCCTCCCTGAACGATGGACATTTCTCGATCTGGGCGGCCCAGATTTGCTGGCGACCAATGTGCCTGGACCGAGTAGGCCCTACGAGCGATGTCATTACATTTTTTCTCATTGCTGTTAATACAGTGCTTTTGTATACTGTGTATAGGATGCTTTTGCGTGATGCGTTGCCTTTCGTATGTGCATGCTTTCATTGCTACTCCACCCAAGTTTGGGCCTGACTCCCAATTTTCCTGGAGTCGACTACCTGGCATCCTGCCTGGACCCAGTAGGCCCTGGAAATTTCTCGAGCAGAACCGACTGCCTTTGATTGTGCCTCAGATATGTGGCCCTCGTTGACTCCTGAGAAATTTTTAACCGTTGACCTACTTACTGAGTTCAGGCCTGACTCCCGATTTTCCTGGAGTCGACAACCTGGGATGGGGTAAAGGCAGCCTCATTTGATCCTGGACCCGTTAGGGCCGGTACCTGTTGTCCTTAAAAGCACTAGGCCAGCACTTTTCTAAGACCCCTCTATGAGAAGAGATGTGACTTTTGACCCCTGAATCTTAAGACTTGCACCAGTTACGACCCTGGCGTATGTCTGTGCGGATTTTGAACTGAGTTCATTACAAAAACATTTAAAAAATGAAAAGGATAATTGAAAAGGTAGTAGATACAATAAGGTCCTGTTTTATTTTTAAAAAAAAAGAAAAAAAAGGCAGTAGATACACAGAAGATGATCATGGCATTTGCACAATTAAGGACGACAAGCCCGGATCGAGAATTGGTCAGGGTCCGTCTTCTGCTTGGAGAAACTTTGGGATCCAATCCCTTTTGTGAATGTGTGCAAAGGTTGCGAACTCATGCCAATCATTGCGAGAAATGTATCGAGTCTATTGAACCCATTTTGGCACACTTTGGATGCGACAACTGATGAGGATCGTTTTGACTCCTACCGTAGCCCTGTGGCTTTATGATGAACATGTAGCTGTTGGTGAGTTCAAACTTCCTGACGATTGATTGTTTTGGTGCTGTGTGCGGTGGAATCACAGCCCAGCAGTCCATGTCGATGCTGAGGTCATGCTTCTGCAATGGGGTTCCTTGCATTGTGGGTCAGACTTGCAAAGACTGCCCTGTAGAGGCAACTGGTCACTGCAGAAGCGCTCAAGATGCATATGGAGAGATTCTTGGAACGGTGAGTTTTTCTTTGTTTGTTTGTCTTTTCTTCTGGATGGTAAGCTCTTGACTCCTGGGGCTTTCTCTGTAATTAAAAAAAAAAAAAAAAAAAAAAATCAGGATTCTCTGCTAGCTTTCCAGGTCGTCTGGAAGGGGACTTGGGGCGCCTGGCCGTCATAAGCGGTTAACAGGGACCCCCACATTTCAGCCCTGGTTAACCCCCTCAACCCTGAAAAGTGCATTGGAGCAGGGTTGTCAGGCCGAACGTACAGAGGCCCCTAAGCTGACTCCCGAACGTTCGGGTGTTCGGGTCCCCGTACGGGGCCCGAACTTGAAGGGGTTCGGAACCCGCAAAAAAATATTTTGGCACCCAAATATTATTATTTTTTTCTGAATTGTTTTTTTGTGAGTTCTGTTTGATGTAAGGTATCTCCCGCTTAAAGGTGGTGGTGTCAAAACTTGCTTGCCCACTCACAATTTTTTTTTTTTTCTCTTTTCACTTTTTGTTTTTCCTTCATTTCCGGGCATAAAACAATTCATTATTTTTTCAAACTTTATTTGTAGATTCTCTATTATGTAAGATACACATATATAAATTTTCATGGCATACGTTACAGCCAAAAAAAATGAAAAATTGCCAAAGAAGGCGGTGTCAAAAATGTGCTCGCCCATTCAATAATTTCATTCTTGTTTTATTTTTCCTAATTTTCATTATTATTATTTATTTTTAGAATTTGATTTTTATTTCAAATTTGGTAAAGAATTTGGATATAACGTTGAGGCAAATGTTGTTTAGTTTATTCTTCTGCATAACATATATTGTTTTCATATTTTTTGGAATTCTTTGGTGTTTTTTTTTTTTTTTGGATCCGCGTTCGGCCCGTCCTGAACACCGGCAACCCTGCA